TTATAGTACATTTAATTTTTAATATTTCAAAAAGAAAAAAATTTCATTAAATAAATTTACAATATAGATATCACTAACTTTTTTTTCCTTTCTACCTTTTCCAACAGACGGTGCATTGGTGGGCGCCTTAGCACCTGTGTTCCCCGGCACCCCAGGAGCACCACCACCGCCCAAGTCAGTTAATAGCACCCCAACTTCAGTACCAAGTACGAAGTATGGAGTCGGTGGTGTAAGTGAGGTCAAGATGCCGGAGACAGAAAGCCAAAAGTTGTCGATAAAGCCACAGACCTCACATGCCGACGACAATAGGGTTTCTGTAACCAAAGTGGCCACTTCCCATACCACTCTAAAGCCGAATAAAAGGGACCTACTCATACCCACATCAAAGGTTAATGGTATTGCCATTTGTGCAGCAGAATCAGAAAGTGCTGTGAAAGTTAATCATAGTGCTATTTGTGCCAAAGATGACAGACATGCAAGAGATAGAGACTGTAAGGAAGGTGTTCCTCGTAACACAAAGAATAAAAAGGTAATTAGTAGTAAAAACAAACAAAGAACTTTAAATGCTAAAGTTTCTTCACTAGTAAATTCCAGTGAAGATTGTGGTGATGTGAAAGGAGTGGAAGGGGTATCATCTTCCTCCTCACATATGGTGGAATCTAAAACTCAAAACAGTGTACCTGCAGAGGAAAGAGAGATAACTGGGTTTAAGCAGAGTTGCAAGTTTTCAGTGACACATCCTTCATCTCGGCTACATAATTCAGTCACAGCATCAGTCTCACACGAGCAAAGTGAGCCTCTTTGCCTTGATACATCAGTGTTAGATCGTAACTATTCTCTGAAGCCTAGACAACAAGAACTACCATCTTTAGTTGTGGCTCAAGAACCAAGATCCTCCAGAACTGCAGACCTGGCTTCACAAGTATCCTTGGAGACAGACCACCTCAGTAGATCAGTTCCACACTTGTCTAGAGAGTCCAGCAGTTTTCAAGCCCACATCTCAGCACAACACCAAGATTCTAGCTGTAATGAGGCACAAGACCTGTCCAAGTCTAGTGAGTCCAGAAATAATAGAACACACCTTTCACACCATGGGGTTGAAACTAGCCATCTTCAGGCACCCAGCAGTTTAGAGGCAACAGCTTTACAAAATCCTTGTGAATCGAATGGTGTAGAAATACCATTTCAGTTACAACCTCAAGACTTCAGCAAGGAAGCGGAGAAGGAGCAAGAAGAGGTAGCTGATAAGGGAGATACCTGCCACTCAGCTAGCAACATTAGTGACGCCATCAAAGACTCTGAAAGGGACTGTACAGGTAGGCACTCTTTTCCACTGTGTAATGATCCTTCAATTTCTTGTACCGTAGTAGATGTAAAAGTAAAATAGGTTTTTTATCTTAAGTTATATTTCTTACTAACTGTTTTAGAGCACTTTTATAGATTTTTCTTTAAAGTTTCCTATTTTTTTATATTTCAGATTGTAGAATTATTTTCATTTCAGTATTGTAGTTGTCTTATGTGTTGTTCTGGCAGAGTTTGCTTTCAGTTTTCTTTTGGTCATTTTTTTTCTCAGCACAAATAATTCGGGAGATAACTAAATACCCTTTTATTGCACTACAGTCATGAATAAGGGAAAATTTTCAATTGTCATTCATTCCTTAGGTAATGGAGAGGCATGCACTGATGGCAGTTTGGTTTCAAATGAAAGACAAAGAATATTAAATAACAATGATGAAAGGAAAAGAAATCTCTTAGCTCCCCTTGTGGGTGATCAGTGCTCCCGAACTACTCCAGGTCTTCTCCAAGCGTATGCAAGAGGTCGTAAAACAAAATCACAAGCTTCTCCTGAAACTGCACCTCTCAACATTCTCTCACCATCACCTGCCTTATCCCCTGCAAATACACCACTGTCAGTGGATGATGCGTCAACAAGTTCCTGTCCGCCAATCGTGGCATTAACACAGCTGATGGTGCCTCGTGTGGCTCCACCTGCTAATGCTGCGGCAGGAGACTCTGCTCGAACGACACGCAAAGCTGCTCGCCCTGAGGAGCGGCCAACTCCCAGTGTTACAGGTAAGGTTACTCTGATGTTCACCACTGAACCTGCTTTTCATTTGTAAAAATCAGTGTTATTTTTTATAATGAAATATTTAATAGCTATGACTAAAATGAAAATTTTTTGTCAAACAGCTGTGAGTGGTATTCCAGTTGGTATTGCAGTTGCTCGTCAACGGCAAGAACCTAGGCCTCAGGAGGACCCTCAGCCAGGATCAATCCCACCCAGAGTTGCTGATCCTGGGAACAGTGCTCTGCCCACACACTGGTCGCTGCCCCCAACACCCTGCACACCAGGACTTCCACCAGCACCATATTGGTTGCCCCAGAGTCAGTTCTCAGGTAATAGTCGTGACATTGTATTCCATATAGCACTGTATTTATTTAAATGAAGGAAAGGGAATGCTGTAGTAACATAACCATTAATCTTATGTGACCACGTTCATAGTCCCAGAACATTTTACACTGAATGGCCAATGAAGAATTGAGTATAACTAAATGGAAAGAAAGAAGTACATTGGTTGGAATTAAAAAAGTATTAAGTTATTTTATTTTTACAGTAATATGATGGGGACAAAGTATTCAACTCTTCAATAATATTTGCATGTATGCAAAGTGTCAAATATACTGCACAACGCATGTCTGAAAGAAAGAAGCTTCATCAGAACAGCTTAAAATGATGAATTAGTTCATTTACTGACTTTGGTATTGCTTACCTGTCTGCGTGATAGTGTTCATGTGTGTGTGCAATATGTGGCTAGCTATCTGTCTGTCTAATGCAGTGTAAGTGAGTGAATGAAATTGAAGATTTAGGAAGAAAAGAATACATATTGGGGAACATTTTATTAAGAGCTATATCACTTATTGGCATTTGCAATTTGTATATGTTTCATTTTATTTGTTTAGGTTATTTAGTACTGAAATACTACTGGTTACTAGTCATATTTTTAGAGATATTTTTTCTGTTTAAGAGGAATTAGATTATGAGGTCATACACTTACCTAAAATAAACAGTTACCATCATAAAGATTAATTTATCAGTCAGAAAGCAGAGATCAGAAATTTGTGCTAGTAAAGAGCTTGTTCTAGCTCTATATTAGTTTCATTTCAACATCATTAACCTTAATGAAAGTTAAATTTTCTCAATTGATAGTATCTGAATCAAAAGTCAGATCGTCAGATTCTCTTTTATTGTTTCCATTTGAATAGTATGGATATTTTTATTTGGTTTACTTGGATATAGTTTAAATGGGTTTACATTTTAAATGACCCATTCCTCCTGTGAAGTATTTGCCACATACAAAAACATGAATATATATAAATTTTTGTCTCCTTACCATCTCATAAAATGGAGTTGAAGAAGACACGAATTGAAGCTTAACACAGCACCAAAATTAAGTAGATTAATTAAACTAGGTACATAAAGTATTGAAATATAAAAATAGAAGGATATTTTTCACTTTTTATAAAATTCTTAATCATAGTTACTTTTGTGTGGGTGCCACTCTTTATGGATTATGTATATTCAGTATTACAATTAATTATTGGTCAAAATATTGGAAAAGTTGCTGATCACAAGCCATTTAAAAAAAAAAAAAGTTGTTTACACAAATGCAGACCTTGCTAAGGATGTAATTCTGCTGGAAAATATAAGAAAAAAGAAAACATGGATGATATCTATAGTAGAAAAGGGACTAAGAGTTGATATTTTGTGTAGTTTATCCCAACATTAAACAATATTGCCACAAGCAAAAGATATGAATATTTTGGTTATAGGATCTGGAATAAGATAAAAAAAAAAAAAAAAAAAAAAAAAAAGACAGTAATAATATGAGTGCAGAGATTAAATTAAATGAAAAGGTACTAGATAGTGATAAATTTCTATAGCTGTTTTGCTATAAGAAAAATGGGACACATTAATCTACTCTGAAGTATTACTGATAAATCATAGTACTTGACTAGATTTACCAAAGTAGAGCATAGACTGCGTTTGACTTAATTTTTAAAATGATATGTATCTTCTCTATAAGTTATTTGGGATTAATGGATAGATAGATTTTTTTTTTTTTTTCTTTTTTTTTTTCTTTTTTTTTGCATGGTACGGAAAAGAGGTTGCTGTCTTTTGATAATTTTAATGCCATATTCAGTAATTGTAAGAGGAAATATAGATATACATTAACATTTTAGATATAATAATAAGCTTTGGTAGAATAAAATGCATGAGTAATACAAGTATACTTTTACCTGTACAGCAAAGAAGATGGAATTTTGATAATGAAGAATTTTTACAAATATTTTTACAAAGTTATTTAACTGAAGTTTAATTTCAAGATTATGCAGCTGAGCATGAAACTAAGGCTATTCTTAATAGCCATATTTATGAGAACCCACCAATATTCTTAAGAAACCTGATTATACACAAGAAAAATAGACACATCACCTGACCAGAGGAAACCAACAACAAACATAATGTTGTAATCTATAGGCATTAGTAAAATACACATTAAGTTTTACAAAGAGTGCGTTCATTTGCCTAATGAACTGGCAGGCATGGGTGTGGATGCCAGTGTAGGCGCGGGCATGGGATTAGGCTACCAGTTCGCCCGTGACCCTCTAAGCGGTCACTACTACCTACTGCCGCACCCGCACGCAATACCAGGTTTGTGGTCCTTGAATGGAGCGCACCCTCTTCTTCACTGTTCATGGTTGTTTCACCACTTTCTGTAGCGTATTTAGTATTAATGTACAAATGTTGATCTACGTATTGTACTGTAAGTGTATCATGTTGCCCTGCTTGGTCTTAGACTTGATTCTTAATATAACATGTAATAGTTGTGCTTATATTCTTGTTATATATATCTGTTACTCTCCTAGGGAAACAGGGCTATAGAACTTCTTATTTTACAGATCATGGTGGTCATGGCTTACTGTGGGCAGGGTATGGGGGTGTATCTGCTGCCCCACCCGTGGTTATGACTCCCCAGCAGCTTTTACTCCCTGATACCCACTTTCATCCTGCACTACATGCCCACACAACTCTGATTCATGTCCCCCATCCCCATGCTCCCGTCCATGCACCAACACCTCCCTCCATCAAGCGTGAGGACCCCCCCACTCCCGGACCACCAGACGAAGACCCCAAGAGCCGTCCAGTGAGTGTGCCCCCTCCAGGGCAAGGACCTCCTCCACCAGGCAGTGAGCTGACATTACCACCACCTCTATCTGCAGGTCTGCGTCATCTTCCTCCTCCTTACCTATACCCGCCCCCAACATCTCTACCCTACTACTGTCCTCAGTCACCTCATCCTGCACCTTATTCCCTTCCACCTTTCCCACATCCCCCTACTACAACCATGGACTCGGGCTTTACCACCAGTAGAACAACATCCCTTACTACAACTCATGCCAACACCTTAGCGGCTCCAGGCAACATGACAACATTCTCAGTTCTGCCAGCTGCACCTGTCTCCAGTGTGGCAAAGGGTAGCAGCCTAGACCATTATTCACCACAGGATTGTGAGTCCATGGTGGCCACTGGTTCTCCTGTTTCTAGAACAGACTCAAATGAGCCAATTAATGTTACTTCCCATTCAGAAGAAGAGCCTGACACAGAATTGCTTCTGCCAAGATCTTTGCCACTACAGGAGCCTTTGCGAATACCAGTCCCCTTCAAGATCAAACAAGAAATCAAGGAAGAAGTTCCCTCTCCTGTTGGGGTTAACAGAGATGGGGCCTGCACACCTGGATCAGGAGATGCAGCTGATGAAACTCATGTCCAGTCAGTTAAGAAAGAAGCATTTCTTGGTTGTGAAGCTACTCAAGCCACATGTGCTAAAGCACCTAAAGTTTATATGACACAGGTTCAAAAGGATTCATTACCGGCCCCTTACACTGAAAATATGTCTTCAGAAATTCAGGATAAAAATTCTTCATCACAAACAAATGAAACTACAGACACAATATGCCAAGAACCAAAGAATTCAAGCTATTTAAAAGTAGGAACAACTGTTTCTAAGCATCCAACTCCTAAATGCTATGAACCTGCAATTGTTAGCACTGGTCAGTCCACAGTAACAAAGTTTTCTGAACCACTGACCCTAAACAGTAATGAAAAAACAAGTGATCACACCAAGTCCCAAAGATTAGAGTCATCAGAGCCACATCATCCCATGTCTGAAGTTGGCCAAATTCCTTGCAACTCTGAACCAGCTACAGCACCATACCCAAAGGACAGTTTAACACCTCTTCCCACCTCTGCTTCTTCAGAGTCTAATCCAGAAACCCAGTCTTCAGTCCAGCCAAATCCTCTTGTAGTTTGCCAAGAACAGTCTGTAGCAAATTCAGTCTCATCGTGTACAGGCTGTCAGGAAATGCAACCTACTTCACATATGGATTCAGCCCCATACTCTGGTACAAATTCATCATACATTGATGTGAGTGGTCTAGAGCTTTTATCTCAAAGTATTCTGCAACATGCAGATAGACTCTCAGAATTACCACAGGAGGAACAAAGTGCAGATGGTCCTCTTGGACAGGAAGAAACCCCGGAAGATGGCTATTGCTCATCACAGGAGAAAATTCAAGAAGATGATTGTACTTATCCAGGGCAAGACGAATTGCCTGAGGAGAAGTGCAGTTCACCGTGCAAGGAGACACCACCTTATGAATATGCCTCTGATGGGGAATATGAGAGTAGTATAGAAAAAGGTGAAGATTGTTCTGATGAGCATGAGTCACCTGCAAATAAAGATGAAGTAAGTCCAAGAGGTGAAATTGTTTCAGGAGAAGGAGATGTGAATGGGATTGCAGGAAGTAGGATGCATGAGTTGGCAAAAGCTTGCATAATGGATATTTCTCGTCTCCAGTCACCTGCAACTTCACCGTCACAATATGCTGAACCTTCTTCACCTGTATCTCAGTCTGACCCACTTACAGGCCTTCATGGCCTCAGCCTTTTGTGTGCCTTAGCTGAGCAACGCATCCTGGAGGAGAAGAATGTGGCTTGCACAGCCCTGTCTTCCCTGGCTGATGTGGCAGCCACATCCCCAAGTGTTCCCACACGCCCATTGGAACGCTCACCTTCGCCACGCTCACCTTCACCACAGCCAGGCCCAAGTACTGAGACAAGATGTTTAAGATCAAGCACTTTTAGCCAAACAGCAGATAAACCAGTATTTGGATCTTCTACTTTTGGAACTGTTCAAAACTCATATATCACTCCAGTAAAGACCACAGATGTAAATAGAAATTACAAAAGCCCTCAGTCTGAAAGAGAAGCAAAAGCTTTCATTGCTAACAAAGCTTCACAGTATCAAAAAGAATCAACTGTAGGTTTTAAAGTACCATTTGGATTTCCTGTTGATTCAATGGATGCAGCTGAGCTTGATATGCGTATGCAACTGGCTGAATTGCAGAGGAAATATAGAGAAAAGCAACGTGAACTTTCAAGACTTCAGCCTAAGAAAGTGACAGCAAGCCCTGCAAAGAGAAAACCAGGCAGACCACCCAAAAGAAAGGTTCATAACAATGATGTCCCTGGCAAAAAGAAGGTTGGAAGACCTCCAAACAAGAAGAAAAAGTCAGTACAAAAGGAACTTTCACCTCCAGTGCTAGAAAGAGTAACAGACCTTCAGATAAAGAGTACAACCAAAGATAGTGATGAAGAGAAAGAGGAGTCACACAGTGCCAGCAGATCAATACTTAAACCACCAGTTCTTACAGCAACATTTTCAAGCCATGTCACCCACAATGGTAACCAGTACACACCACCAAAATCTGTTGAAACACAGGCATCCACAGAAAAGGATGAATCAAGTGATGATGATACAGATAAAGAGAAAAATAGAAGATGGTCTATTTCATCAGAAGACACAGCACTTCCACCACTGAGACCACCTTTCAAGCTACCCACCACTACACCTGAAACACGTCTAGAAGAGAGTGAGGAAGAACAAGCAAAATATAGTCTAAGTGACTCTTCAGCCCGAGAATCGAAAGCCTTGCACACAGAAACTTCTGTTGAATCATCGCCTTCAGATCTTGAGCAGCAGCCAGCATCAGCCTCATCATCAAAGAAACGGAAGCCAGGCCGGCCCAAGAAACACTCACCAACAAAGGAAGATGCTACTGAAACCATAGTTGCTAAAAAACCAAAGTCTCTGAATCTCCTGCTTCATCGTCCACTGCTCTCACACAAGCCAAAAATGCGTCCAAAGTTGAAAGCTGAAGTTAAGGTGAGTTTACCATTAGTGTCAGTGTGAAAAAGTCTGTCATGAAGATGTAATATTTTTTCTCTTTTAAAGTTATTATAAAAAACTTTTTCTATTACTTGGAAAACAAAGAATAATTCCTTCCCCAATTTTTTCCATAGGTACGAGAGGGTGATCAGGAAGAAGAAGAAGGAGCAAATCGAGTACACTACTCCATGACCAGTACTAACGAAACACCAACCAAAGACTTGTCTGAAGATGAGGATCACCAGTCGGTAAGAATTGCCTTATTGAAATAGTTTGACATAACTGTTGATGATTTTTCATTTATGCTGGAGTAATTGCAAACACTTTTATTATACATTAAAGTGTATATGTTATAACTATTACTTTTATATAGAGATTAAGGCCCCAGCATGAGATTTTGATTTGTAAGTTGATAATGATAATAGTATTTTCCCCTAAACTATAGCTTTTTGCTCAATGAGTTTTTACATGACTAGACACTATGAACAGCCATATAATACAACCTCAATGATTTTTTAGCCATGTTTGGTAAAGTCTGAAGGCGTTCGAGGGGCTCAAAGAAGATTAGTGCCTCGTAGTCGAACATCTATTACCAGAAGAGCAATGCTTAGAGACAAAGAGAAGAGGAAGTCTGCAGCAGAAAAGCAGTCAGTGATGGAGGCACTTTATAGGTATGTCAGTTAATATGTTGAAGAATATGTTCCAAATCTTTTTGATAGAAGAATTAATGAAACAAATTGTATTATTTGTTTCTATCAATAGATAAATACAGGGACATCATCTACAAACTTATTTCTACATTGCTTTTTATAAAGTTTTTATTAAATAAACATTGCTAATTACTTTTAATAGGTCCCTCAAGAAGCATTCAACAATGGCTGCAGCAGAGCACGATGAATCGGAAGAGGAGAGAGACCGTGACGAAAAGGAAACCGAGAAAGTGGAAGAGGAGGCGTCTGCCAGTGACCATGAGACTAGTCAAGAAGTATCATCAGGAGACACTGTGACCACCTCTACCACATCTACTACAACCACAACTGTCACCACAACCACTACCACAACAACAAGTACAACTACAACTGCAACTACAACTACTGATGCTACAAGACCCACCATGCAAACACCAGGTGAGGAATATGAAATGAATTCCCTAGAATTAGTGTCATCACCTCATTTATTAACCTAAAAGACATATGAAAAGAGAAATGACAAAAATGCATTCATGATTATACATACATAGATATAAAGACATTCTATGTCAAGTAAGAAATATTGTGAAAGTGTGTTTTGACACTAAACATTCACCGATTTAATTCTGTCACTTACAGAACCAAATGTTTGTGTTATTGAAGTGGGTGATTTAGTAGACAAAGCGAGAGTGTTGGTGCTGCAGGATGGTCTGCTGTATGCTGGCTATGTAGTTCCCATGACACCTCCTGACGTGTATGGAGTTGTGATAGATGGAGAACGAGGCTCACGTCCACATATATACTGTCGAGAAGAACTGCTTGAGCAGTCAGTAAGTATATATTGTATTGATCCTTGCTCTTGTGGTTATGGGGTCTTGATTCCAAATGTAAGCATGGTAAGTATGAATTCTTCTTCCATTTTCAGTTGGCTTTTTACTCTGTATATTTATTACTGTTTCTAGGTAGATGTGTGTGATGGAACCAGAATAAATTATAATATTTAAGTATATTCATTGATCTTTTAAGCATTCCCATATAAGTAATATACCAAAAAAAATCACATTAAACAAACCCAAAGGTTTTCTGTTGCTGTTGTTGTTCTTTGTCACTATGTTAACTCATGTACTGTTAAGATCAAGTTAACATGGATGTTTGTCATTGCAGTGGAAGGAAGTGAAGCCTGGTTCGACGAGGTTCCTCAAAGAAGGGACCCGTGTTTGTGCCTTTTGGTCACAGCAGTACCGAGCCCTATATCCAGGTTTGTTAATATCTGATTCCTTTAAAGAATGGAAAAGTCCATGTTTTTGTTAATATACTTTATATTGTGAGAAGCTTATATTAGATTGTCCTTTAAAGTTTTGTTAACTTCAGTAGACATCATGGTTTGATTTATATAGTCACATATTTTAATGATAATTCTGTCTTCACCTATACAGGAATGGTAGCTGCTTCCTCTTCCCCAGCACATGAAGCCAATCATAACTTCGTGAATGTGGAATTTGATGATGGTGACTCGGGGAAGATTCATGTTGATGATATTCGCCTTTTACCTCCAGAATTCCCCGTTCTGGGTAAGTGTATGTATGAGATGTTACTAACCCAGTTATTAGATATAAGTATTTATCTTTTTCTTCTCTTTCTTCCTTTAATGGCTTTGCTATTAAGTCTGTTAACTAATAAATCTGGAAAAGAACAGTGTTAATATTTTGGGTTGGACATATTTTGCCTAGATTTAGTTAGACTTAGAATAGGAAAATCACATCTTTGTTTCCTTTAGATTACGACCCCAACCCTCTGATGACCCTCCAAAAGAGAAAACGGAGACCTACAGGTGACAGCCTCCCTGATATCAAAGAGGAACCTCCCAAGACAAGGCAGAAAAAGGTGAAGGCAACCACTGAAAATAATGTTGAAGATGACACTCTTCACGATCCAAACGATGTTAACAACGAAGTAGAAAAGGAAAACAAAAAGAGCAGTGTAAATATAAAGAAAACAGAGAAGGAAAATGAGGAAAAGATTATTAAGAAAACAAATAAGAAGGGAGATAAGAAAAAGCACAAGAAGCATAAACACACAGAGTCCTCACATCACCATCGCCACAGACACAAGAATAAGCACAAGCATAAACATCGTGAAGGAGACAGACCACTCCCACACATTGAACCTGGGATAAATGAACTTACCATGAGAATCAAGTCTCCTCCACCACCCTTGGGAGAAACAAGAAAACGCTCATATCAGGAGGAATCGGAGTCAGAATTGGACAGTTCATCATCGAAGAGTGCCACTGAGGAGGACTCTGAAGAGAATGATTCTGAATACACTCCCTCAAAGAAGGAAAAGGTTAGTTCACAAACCAAATTTATTCATTGGAGATTATAATGCCATATATGATAACTAAAAATTAACACTTATTCTTGGCAACTTTCAGTCTCTAACAAAATGCTTATCAATATTGCAGGTTAAGACTCCAGCAAAGCGCAAGAAGAGACATCCCTCGGGCAAGTCAAAGATTGCACCTTTTCTTCCCGAAAGACAGTTGTGGAGATGGTCTGGCAAAGGATTCAAAAGACCTGGTGCAAAGGGCAAAGGCAAAAAAGAATTCTTTAAGGCTATAGTTAGAGGAAAAGAAATGATACGTGTATGTATCTCTTAATATTACATGAATTAATCTGTGTAAAGATATATTCTTTTATGTAAAATATTTAGGTTGTATACAGTATCATGGTATATTGTCCTTATTGCTATACTTATTAATGAAATATTAATATAATTTTATTAATTTACTACATACTATATTAGGTTGGAGATTCTGCTGTGTTCTTGTCTGCTGGCCAACCCGACCGTCCATACATTGGAAGAATCGAACTTATGTGGGAATCATGGGGAGGAAACATGGTGGTTAAAGTCAAGTGGTTCTATCATCCTCAGGAGACTAAGGGACTTGGACGGAGGCTAACTGAACCAAAGGTAAGACTAACTGAAAGTTGAAACTAATGCACAAATATCTGTTTGGTTTATTCCATGATTGTTAGTTAATGAATTGAACTTCATAATATGCCTCTGTTTAATGCAAGGTTTATATTCATTATGCTCTAAATAGATACTTTAGAATGTACTTTTGATCTGTTAACAGATAATAGAAATCATGAGTATAATCAACTCTGTAACCAAGATTAACCTGTTTTTTCAGGGGGCTTTGTTCCAGTCTCCTCATACAGATGAAAATGATGTTCAGACCATTAGTCACAAGTGTGACGTCATTGCACTGTCTGATTATCGAATCAAGCGACGAGAGCAAGAAAAGCGGTATGGACCAAACTGTGAAAATTATGATATATATTACCTAGCTGGCTCTTATGACCCAACCACAGGACACATTACCATGGAGCCAGGTGTGTCATGAAGATCCTGGCACATCAGTTTAAGATTATTGTGATAAAAGTGAAGTGAGTAAAGTCAGCTGAAAGAATATCATGATTCCCTTCATCTCAGAAAAGTGACAATTACAGTGTGTGGTGCGACTAAAGGTTACATTCCTCAGTCATGTTGGTTAATAAGATAAAACTTGTGGGAAGTAAATGATATGATCGCGGTGAAGGATGGTTGCAAAAAGGTTGTCCTTGAGAATGAAATGAAGAGCTTAAGGAATAGAATTTTTAAAGAGTTTATTTTTCTCAAGTCTGAAGTGGGCAGTTCCAGTTGCATATATGATAGATGTTTCAACAAGAAAATGGATACAGTTATAGAATTGTGAAGTAGTTTGCATGATAATGGAAATCTTTGGTAATAGATTAGTACATGTCTTTCTCAAGACATTTATAAACAGTAACAATGTTCTAATGTGAATTTTAAAAAAATGGCATATATTTATAAAGCATTTAAAATGTCATACTTCTGGAAACTGTAAAAGTATGATAGAAGAAATGGTTTAACCCTTATGCTTAACATATGTGTTTACAAGTGTGATCAAAGTGATATATTTGATTTTAGAAAAAAAGCAATTTAGGCCCTCTGGAGTCAAGTAGAGCAGTCAGTATTGTAGATTCATCTTCAGGGGATTTTTATTCTTGGTAATTTTGACTTTAGGCTATTAGACGGTGGATTGCTTATGGACAATCACTTGAATCTGCAAAATCACTATGAGAAATCTATGGTTTTTGTTAATATACTTTTTGGAGTGTGAAAGATCAGAGGTGTCCTTCCAACTACCCAAATTTTGCCTTTATCTCACAACACCTTTTAGATTTTAAGGATTTTTATCATATACATGAGTACCTGCAATATTTTATATAGATACTTTATTGTGTGGATCATAATATCTAAACAAATAGATATCTATGGCTGCATTATGATTAGAACCACTGCTAGTGTTTAAAAGCTTATTTTCTGGTCCTGCAATAATGTGTTGCATGGCACTACCAGTGATAATGACCAATGGCAATTGTAGCATCTTGTACAAGTGTGGAAGAGTCGTTGAAGGCCTTTCCTTGCCGATTTTTCTTCTTTTTCTTGCTTGGTCTAGATTAATTTATGTTAAATTTCAGTGATTTCTTTTGTGTTGATTGCATGTTGAACTGATTTAAAAGAACATTAATGTGTACAGTAGATATTGTTTGTGTTAAATGTCTTACAAGTTTCTTCATGTCTTCAGTGATGAGGAAGACTTAGATTAGCTTCTTAGTTGATAAAATGGTTGTATATTTTACATTTTGCCTATAGTGCGAAAGGCTTTTACAGAGCTCTGACATGGATGCTTTATGTTTCCCATCAAAAGACATTGACTAATTATTATGACAATTAATTCAATGTTACAATGGATCTCATATGATATATACAATATATAGTGACTGTAGGAATCTAACAAACAATTTCAGAATATCCCATTTTGTGTTCATAGGATTCAAATTCTGCAAGAGCATGTCAGCTAGAACAAAAATGGTTATTTAACAGTGAAATATATAATTTTGATATCTGTAATTAAGAGCATTTGTTCTAGATGTGATTGTTTTCTGAAGTGACAGTCATTTAAAGTGCTGTTCCAGATTTTGGATGGTCTAGTTTAGGGTGCTAAACTTATCCCAAAATGACACATGTTACCATGCAGCATACTAACACACAGAACTGTATTAACATCAGATTTGTTTTCCTTCTTTCTCTTCTTTCTTCAAACAGTTTAAGGATAAAAATGCTTTTGATGAAATGGTAAGATATCATAAGCCAAGGTTTTATTATGTTAGGTAGAGTGGACCTTCTTCTAGAGTGAAATTGCTTTCTGTTGATTTAGATTATTGCTGTTTATTTACAGTTATGTGGATAATCAGTTTTATGGCTATTAAGGTCAGGAATGGTTGCTTTAGGGGAAAATGAATGATGCAATTAGTTATACAACAGTATATATAATGTTGCATACAAGTCGTTTGCTTGGTTTTACACAAACCTATAGAACTGCGTACATAAGAAGAGTTCTGTGAATTAATGGAACTTCCCATAATGATGCCCTTCACTAAGTAGAACACATTTCTATTTTAGATTGGCACCATTTCACTGAATGTGATAATATGTGAACAACTTACTCTAGCATTATGAATTGATTAAGTTTGCTTTATACTAGAAATGACAGATTGTGGTGACATATTTGAGGTATTACAGGATTCTAAGTAATCATCTTTGTATACTGGAAATACAAGTAAACTGTTTTAAGACAGTGTGTCGGCAGCAGATTTCAGATGATAAAATAACTATTTTAACAAAATCAAATTTAAACTGGATTCTCTAGATACACTATTTTGACCCCTTCAGGACTAAGCAAAAATATTTTTATTATAGATTTTAAAGCATATTTTCTTTATGATGATAAATGTGTCATGTTTCAAAATTTATTATTTTTTACATCTAACACTTTTATTATATTTATTTGTAGGCGATATTTGAAAACTAACTTCTTTGCACAGCTCTAGAATAAGACGAACTAAATGCTCAATTATGTGAATACCAAATAGTGTTAAAATTTATGCATGGAGTACAAATGCATACAAGTAAACTGTAACAGGTAATTTCCTGAAGGGGTTACAATACCAACACCCACTCTAAAGCAAAGAATTCAAAGAAATAGTTCTCAGTCACTTTCAGCAACATGCAAGCATTGATAACTGATGGAGGATTTTCACATGAACAAAAGCAATGGGTAACCAGACCCACTGTAAGAGTACTTTCATTTAACTTTCTGACAAATCCACTGGTAACAAAATAAGCAGTCAGCCTCATCAAAGACATTGAAATAGTTTATTTTTAACCCCTGCCCCCCCCCCACCCACTCATTCAAGCTAATCTTAAAAACGAACCAAATGTTCACTTCTTGAAAATCACTAATATGAGATTAAAGTGGAAAATTTAGCAACTAAATTTAATGCCATTTTTGTTGCAAACAAAGCTGTTTATGTATGTCTGTGTATACTGTATACATACTTTGTGTGTTTGTGTGTGCGTGTGTGCTATGTGCGTGGTGTACTGTGTGTGCTGTGTGCATATGTGTGTGTGAGTGGATGTGTGTGCGTTAGTGGATGTGTGTGCGTTTGTGGATGTGTGTGTGATTGCACACACATGTGTGCGTGCGTGTGTGTGTGCGTGCGTGCGTGTGTGTGTGTGTGTGTGTGTGTGTGTGTGTGTGTGTGTGTGTGTGTGTGTGTGTGTGTGTGTGTGTGTGTGTGTGTGTGTGTGTGTGTGTGTGCACGTGCGTGTGTGTGTGTGTGTGTGTGTGTGTGTGTGTGTATGTGTGTGTGTATGTGTGTATGTGTGCGTGCGTGCGTGCGTGCGTGCACGTGTGATGCATGAGAGAGAGAGAGAGAGAGAGAGAGAGAGAGAGAGAGAGAGAGAGAGAGAGAGAGAGAGAGAGAGAGAGAGAGAGAGAGTGAGAGAGAGAGAGAGAGAGTGAGTGAGTTTGTGTGTGTGTGTGTATAGAATTTAAGGGTATATACATTGTATATAATCATACAATATACAGTCCTTGTTTGAGCAGTGAAAAGCTTTAGTTAAACCTGCATTCTGTTGTGGCACAAAAGTACTTATCAATCTGGAATATGGTGATTTAAAGGGTAAACAAGTGCATAGAATAGTCATAGTATTAGAACATATCTAAAGTGTAATGAGTGCTGACTTTTTTTTATAAATTTTAATGAACCATTTATTATTTACTAATCAATGTGATGATAAGATAAGAATTAAATTAGTAGCTGGCTCATAATTCAAAGCTTTCTCACTCTTAAATGTCAAAGTGCCAAAATTAGAAATAGGTATTTTCCCAAAAATATTTGGATCAGCTTGAATTTTTCCCCCTACATTTCTTTCATGGTGTAGATAGTGTTCAGGTCGGAATACATGAAGAAATTTAATGATTCAGTATGAATGCTTTGAGTATATACATATGTACATATATACATATACATGCGTACTTATATTCTGCACCTCATTTTTTATCTTGTTCATTATCTGTCAATTTCTCTCTTTATCTATTATCTGTTCATTGTTATTTATCTGCTTATTTGTTAATTCTTTCTAACATACACACTCACTCACTCACTCACTCACTCACTCACTCACTCACTCACTCACTCACTCACTCACTCACACACACACACACACACACACACACACACACACACACACACACACACACACACACACACACACACACACACACACCATCTAGTTACAGGAAAAGTTCTTAGTTCATCGGCATATAGACAACAAATTCACATACAGTATATGTATATGTATATATGAATGTATGTATGTGTAAGTGCTGTTAAACCATGTGACAACTGAGTATAGAAGTATGATTCTTCTAAAAAAAATGTAGTTATAACTGTTACCAGTATAGGTTTATTTTTATTTACTTAATTAAGTTGCCATTGAAGTTGGCATATACAATATAGGCATATATTACATGAAGCACAAAAGACTTTACACAATTGTAACTGTCGAGCCTGATATTGGAGCAAAGCTGCCACGTTTGCTGCACTGTGATTAAGCTCTAGGATTAGTTCTGCAATTTGAGAATTGGATTGAAAATCAGAGGGTGACAATCATACACTCTTACTCTAATCTAGTCCAAAATTTTCTCATCTAAAAAAAAAAGGAAACAAAAAAAGGACACTCTTCATATTTTAGACGACTGCTTCTAAAAGATGGGATTTATTTTTTGCTCATTCTTTTTTTTTCTCTTTTTTTTTTTTTCTTTTTTTCTTCTTTTTTAATAGGTCTCCCATGAGTCTTCTTTCCTATTTAATTGCAGCACACTTCATTCTCATGATAACATGGTGTGTGTGTGTGTGTGTGTGTGTGTGTGTGTGTGTGTGTGTGTGTGTGTGTGTGTGTGTGTGTGTGTGTGTGTGTGTGTGTGTGTGTGTGTGTGTGTGTGTGTGTACACGCATGCACTTGCAGGAGCATTTGCATCGTTATAAGAATTTTTCTGCTGAGTGAATACATGTGTCTGCATGTTACCATAACCATACCACA